TTACAGTCATTTTGCATATTGGACTTCAGGATATTTAAAAGTATATATACATTCTAATCTTTCAGGGTTTTTAAACCCCTTTTTACTTCTGATTTTTTTTCTTGGAGTTTATTGGGTAGTGTCCTCCACTTTGTAACTTCAAAACGTTACAAACTACAGGCACTCTTGTTTTATTGCACTTTGCTTTATTGCACTTTGCAGATACTGCGTCTCTTAAGAAATTGAAGGTTTGCAACAACCTTGTGTCAAGCAAGTCGATCCACACCATTTTCCCAGCAGCATTTGCTCACTTCGTATCTCTGTGTCACATTTTGAGAATTCTTACAATATTTCAAACATTTTCATTATTATTATTTTTGTTACAGTGATCTGTGATCAGTGATCTTTGATGTTACTGTTGTCATTGTTTTGGGGCGTCATGAACCCCATCCACATAAGATGGGGAACTTAATACAATGTTGTATGTGTTCTGACTGCTCCACTGGCTGTTTCCCCTTCTCTCTCCCTCTCGTCGGGCCCCCACTATTCCCTGAGACAAAACAATATCGAAATCAGGCCAATTAATAACCCCACAGTGGCCTTTAAGTGTTCGAGTGAAAGGAAGAGTTGCATGTCTGTCACTTTAAATCAGAAACTAGAAATGATTAAGCTGAGTGGGGAAGGCACGTGGGAAGCCAAGACTGGCCCAAAGCTAGGCCTCTCGCGCCAAATAGTTAGCCAAGCTGTGAATGCAAAGGAAAAATTCTTGAAGGAAATTGAAAGCACTACTCCAGTGAACACACAGATGATAAGAAAGTGAAGCAGGGAAAGTTGTAGTGGTCTGGATAGAAGATCAAATCAGCCACAACATTCCCTTAAGCCAAAGCCTAATGCAGAGCAAGGCTCTAACTCTCATCAGTTCTGTGAAGGCTGAGAGAGGGGGGGAAGCCGCAGAAGAAAAGTCTGAAGCTGGAAGAAGCTGGTTTATGAGGTTTAAGGGAAGAAGCTGTCTCCATCACATCAGAATACAAGGTGAAGCAGCTGGTCATCCAGATGATCTAGCTAAGATCATTCATGAAGGTGACTACACTAAAGAACAGATTTTCAGTGTAGACAAAGCTGTGTTCTATTGGAGGAAGATGCCATCCAGGACTTCCATAGCCAGAGAGGAGAAGTCAGTGCCCGGCTCCAAAGGACTAGTTAGGGGCTAGTGTATCTGGTGACTTGAAGTTGAAGCCGGTGCTCATTTATCATTTCCAAAATCCTCGAACCCTTAAGAATTGTGTTAAATTTACTCTGCCTGTGCTCTTTAAGTGGAACAACAAAGCCTGGATGACAGCACATCTGTTTACAGCATGGTTTGCTGAATATTTTAAGCCCACTGTTGAGATCTACTGCTGGAGGAAAAAGATTCCTTTCAAAATATTACTGCTCATCTACAATGAACCTGGTCACCCAAGAGCTCTGATGGAGGACATAAGTACCATAAGATTTATGTTGCCAACACAACATCCATTCTCCAGCCCATGGATCAAGGAGTTATTTTGACTTTCAATTCTTATTCTTTAAGAAATATATTTGGTAAAGTTATAGCTGCCATAGATAGTGATTCTGCTGATGGATCTGGGCAAAGTCAATTAAAAATCTTTCGGAAAGGGTTCACTGCACCATTCTAGATGTCATGAAAATGCCTTTAAGGACATCGATGATTCATGGTAAAGGGTCAAAATAGCAACACAAGCAGAAGTTTGGAATTGATTCTAACCCTCCTGGATGACTTTGAGGGGTTCAAGACATCAGTGGAGGAAGTCACTGTAGATGTGGTGGAGACAGCGAGAGGACTGGAACTAGAAGTGGAGCCTGAAGATAGGACTGAATTGCTGCAATCTCATGGTAAAGCTTTAACGGATGAGGAGTTGCTTCTTCTGGATGAGCAGAAAAGCGGTTTTCTTGAGGTGGAGTCTACTCCTGGTGAAGGTGCTGTGAAGACTGGTGAAATGACAAGGATGTAGAAAATGACATGAACTTAGCTGATAAAGCAATGCAGGGGTTCAGAGGACTGACTCCAGTTTTGAAAGAGTGGAGTCGAGATCACAGTGATCTTTCCCCTAAACCACTCAGCAGATGATTTACAGCCAAGGGGGTTTGGAGGCTATGCAGTGACTTAAGAAGTACAACATGGAAGTATGCCAGTGGCAACTGGGAGAGTTGGATGTAAACTTTTGCATGTGTGTTGCAATTACAACTTAGTTAAGAGGTGTTTGAATAAAAAGGTCAGAGTAAAATAAAGATTTCAGTGCTAGTATTAGATTGGTGGAATTCGAAGTGGTATTTTTCCTTTATTTTCTAAAATATTTGCAGTTGTGGGTAAGTTACTTTCAAATTAAAGTATTAAAATAGAGTGACTGTAGCATCAGTTTAGTTACCAATCTGAGTATATAAAAGTATTAAGTGTTTCAGTATGCTGCTGAAAGACTGAGTGGTCATTTGAACTTGTATTAATTTTTTTTAAAATTTCAGATCATCAAGTTATTGGATGGAAAGCGATCTCAAACTGTGGGAATATTGATATCCAGTTTGCATTTAGAAATGAAGGATATCCAGCAGGGTAAGTCTTATCTGTCACTTTTTTTTCCCCAACTTTAAAGTTTTTCAGCTTTTATTGTGAAAAATTTCAAACACATACAGAATTAGACTACCACGGCGAGTCCTACGTACCTGGTACCTCACTGCTAAACCATTAACCCACTCTTGTTTCATCGAAAGCATTCTCCCTCTGCCGACTAGATTTTTATGAAGCAAAGCTCAGACATTTTATAATTCATCCTTTAAAAATGTTCATACACCACTGAAAGATAAGGATACTTTAAGCATAATCCAGTGCCATTAGCATGCATTTAAAAACATTTGCAGTAATTTCTCAGTATCAAGTATGCAGCTCTGATATCCCTGATTGTCTGTAAATTATCCATTTACTGACGATTAGTTTGATCCAAACAAATTTCATGCATCGCCTTGGATGTGTCTGTCTCTCAGATTTTTTTTTTAATCTAGAGGATTCTAGCCTCTATATTTTTTTTCTTTTAATTATTTCTTTGAAGAGATCAGGTCACCTGTCTTGTGGAGTTTCCCATGTTTTTGATTTTTGCAGATGGCATTGCCCTGTTTTTATTTAGTGTGTTCTTCTGTAGCCTGTGGTTCCTGCAAACTGTTAGTTTGATCTAGAGGCTGCATCTAAGTGGGGGAAAAACACTACAGTGATGCTGTTGTATATTCTGTCAAGAAGTACGTAGTAATCTGGTTGTCTCTTTGTGATGTTGATGGATATTCACGATCTTTGTCTAGATTCATTATTTTCACTAGATGTTTGCAAAATAATGACATCCCACCTCCCTCATTTCTTCTTCGTTAGCGGGAATGCTTCTGTGGAGAAACCCTCTCCTTCTTCATCCACTTGATGATGTCACTGTTTCTTAATCCCTTATTATTTTTTTCAAATGACGCTCTTTCAACTTGGTTATTTTTGGCTCAGTTTGAAATAAGATATTCAAAGAGGGGAATTTTTACTTGTATTTTTCTTAGGCTCTAGAAAAGTAAACCAAAAACCATCTGACCTTTTTGAAATTTGAGTCTTGTGTGAGGACAATACCCTTCTTTCTCAGTAATCAATTAAATGTAAATCTTCATTTTGACATGCAACCAATCATATTTCCTTAGTGATAATATACTCTCTCAAAGACAATGTCAGTAGAATTTAGCTTAGATTTAACTGTGAAAACATTGTGAAACCACACTTCCCTTCAGGCTGTAATTGGTGTTGCCTCAAAGCTATTTTACCCTACAGCAGAATACCCCATGGGTCCTGAATGGAAAGTCATTTAAGATACTTTCATACACTATTTTTCCTCTGAAAGGAGCTTTGTTAAGGGCTTACATTTTTCCTTATTGCAAACATTTAAAATTCCACATAAAACTAAACATATCCTGAATTAGATGACCGTCACAGAGTATTCAGATAAGCTTCTCTATTTTTAATATATAAGCTTAATAGTCGACCTGAATACATAAGTGTGAATATTCACCCTCAGAAAATGTTGCAGTAGTGGATTTAAGTTTGGGGCAGAGGGTGGCTGGAAAGATCCGCCATCAAAATTAGAAAAGGATTCTTCAGTGACTTTAGGTATTAAGTCTTCTAGCATTGAATTTATGGTATATTTAAGCCAGAAAACTGTGATGCTACAGTGAAGGAAAAATGAAAAAATAAAACAAAAGTATTGGCAGGGAAGTTTATAGTCTTTTGTCAAGCAGACTTTTTTGATGCAGTCATTGAAAATAGAAAGGAATTTTTCAGATCTAGTGGCAGAGTCTTGTCCTAAACCACAGTACCCTTTATAAGCATACTTGGTTTCATCACCATGACAGTTAGCACTGTGAATGAGTCTTCACAATATCAGGAGCATCTTGGATTGATTTGTTTCTTTGTAGGCATATTCTGCTGTGGTATCCATCAGATGGCCATGTGCATAAGACTCATTCCAGCCACGTGCTGTTCCACTTACCCACTCAGGGCCATTAGCCTTCTTGCCATGGCATTCCAACCTTGTTGGGTTGAATGTTCCCGGCAAGTTGAGTAAGAGATGACATCACCAGACCTTTCCCAGTATTCTACTCTGGACAAGAACATGCCTCCACGAATCAGGAGTGAACTTAAATTTTAGCTTTGAAAATACTGATTTTAGCATCATATTC